ATCTACAAAAATATCAAAACATTTAGTATTGGCACCATTAATGAAGTTATTGGCAGTCTCATCATTAGTTATTGGCACCCACTAAAATTATGTGACAAATTAAGTTTTAGTTCACTAGATTGTTAGCAACTTAATTAATAACCTTTTTTTCTGTTTAGAAATACCCATAAAAATATCTACAGTTGATAAATGATTCATGTAATAATATTACCAAACAAAATAGGTGTTGTAAAATAAGCAGGAAATGAGTACCTACCCAACTTCTAATATATATATTAAGTGATTACAAATTACAATATTAAATTGTCTAAAACTGTATTTTTACAGTTTAAATTAGTATTTGTATTACCTGTACATCAGTAAGAAAATTTAAATTTATTAATTCACATTTATAATTATCAACTTGTAAAAAAATAAAAAAAAAATACTATTAGTAGGTACTCAACATAATTTTTATTATAAATAAAAATAATAAAAGTACAATTTTATTTATAAAATAAAATCAAGTACCAAATAGGTAGGTTCTTAGATTTTTGATTACCTAATATAATCATAAAGAATTTTTCTAGAGTTTCAATGCCAATAATATCTGAAAATTCTTTTAAATTTAGATTATTAATATTATTTTCAGTGTGTTGAGTACTACTTGTTGTTGCTCCATTTGAATCATATTTTTTTCCCAAGCATTTTTTGAAATCTATTTGATTTTTATTCCAAGGGAAGAGCCCACATGCTTTGAAACCATTTATCAAAACACTACTTTTCACTGTGTTTTTCAATACTTTATCAAGTATAGAAGCAAATTTTTATTTTGTCACTGAACTGGTGGGATTCTGATTTCGCCATTCTGATAATCCTTTTTTCCATCCAGATTTTAAAGGCCTAAATGCAGATACATCTGCTGGTTGTAAAATCCTGGTTGCATTAGGGTATAATGCAATCAAAACTATTTTTAATTGAGAACATAAATTACTCAATTGATATGTCAAGTGGCTCTTATGTCCATCCACAAATAGAATGACAGGGAACTGAATATTATTTTCAACAAGAAACGGGTAAAATATATTTCCAATATATTCATAAAAAACTTCTGCTTTCATCCACCCTGTACCTATCTGATCGCCCAACTCCCCAATTAGGCGGTATTCTTTGATATTTAAAAATAATCATTGGGTTGCACATCTGACCCGCAGCATTAAATGTAAACATGGCAGTTATATTTTCTTTCTCATTGCCTTTTGCTATTTCATAAATAACTTTTGCCCCTCTTGGGCCTAAGACAGATTTTGTTTTTGGGCAGAGAGAAAAACCAGTCTCATCGCCATTAAATACTCTAGGTGGGTCATTAAGTATATCTGCTAATTTTTCTTCAGTTAAATATTGATATATTATGTCATCAAACCATTTTTTTATGTTTGTTTCACTCACATTTCCACTAGCAGACGACACATGCTCACTGGTCCTTTTTGAAATTATAGGATTTCTTTTTAAAAATGATTTGTACCAAGTAATTCCTAAAGCAGAATAATTAAATATTAATTATAAGAATCAATTTGAGCTAGTGATGGAAATTACATGATATATAGTATTCAATATAATTTATTTTCATAATTAATAAAAATCATATTTGATATTTAAAAATTTTAAGAAGGTAAGTAATTCTATAGGTAACCCATAATAGGAAGTACTAAAAACATATTGATGTAAATATTTAATTTAATTTACTTAAATTAATTTATCTTTCATTTTTATATTAATTTGTTAACCAAAACTTTTATTTATAGGTAGAAACAAATTTATTCTTATTAGTTATTAGTGTCCATAATATTTAAATTTATTTAAACTATTTGGTGTGAAATATTCCACACATTACTTATATTGATAATGAATAGTTAGCTACTAATTAAAATTTATTTTAGGTATTATTAGTTATCAGGTAAATTATTTGTAAATGGACTGGATCTTCCCTGGTCATCCAAAAACAATTTGACACTCTGTTATAGATCCTCACGTCGCCTGGGAAATCCTTTTTTGCAGCAGTCAAGGAGCCATTTAACAAGTGATTTTTCCTCTTCAACACTCAGAACACTTGAAGGTCCACATGAAAAAGTTTCTTTGTCCCTATTTTTTATTCTGAATTGGATAGTTGACCGAGCAACTCCAAACTGTTTGGCAGCAGCCTTTTTTGACATACCACCGTCCACTGCTATTATAGCTGCAGCCAAATTAGAATCAGAAAAAGTATCTGATTTTTTTGGCATTTCTGTAAATTAATACCTGCATGATTAGATTAAACTAGTAATAAATTACCTATAAATCTAAATACTTACTTAAATCTTAATTTGGTCTTTTAGGAAATTTTAGTTTATATAAATGCCAATAACTAAATAATTAACTTTTGAAACCTATTTAGTAATTGGCAGGCCTGCCAATAACTAAAGAACATGAAAAAAACATATTAGTAATTGTCACCTTATTTATAACAAATAAAAAAATTAAAATTGATTAAACCAATTGGTTAATTGAATAGTATATGTTCGTATAATTAAAAAAAAAATACCTTAACATTTAGCTCCAATATACGGGAGAATAGAAGCTTATATTCACTGCAATATTTATAACAAAAAAAATTAAATTCTTACCTGTTTCCACCATAGACAAAGAAAATAAGTGGTTTCCACTACGAGCTGAGATTTTATTTTGGCTTTGTGTTTTCTTTGTCAATCATTAATCATGGAATGTTGATAATTTTTGGAGCGAAAATAAATCAGTTTAACCAAATATTAAAAAAAAAAAGAAATTTAAAAGACAATTACTGACCTATTTATCAATAAAGCTATTTCACCATGCCAATAACTACAACAGTGCCAATAACTGCATACTTTACCCACTGAACCGAAATTATATAAGCAACTCTAAAAATTCTGACGTTGGAGGTAGAAATGGATACGGTGATTTCTGGAACAAATTCGACCAGGACGACATAGAGTATAGCTGGTACAACAATAAGATATAATACATAGTGTATTTTCTCATAGTCAATTCGAAAACGTCCTGCATATTATCAACAATTTGTTTGAAGACACCAATGTACATATAATATAGCAGAAATATAATAGTCAATAGCTTATATTATTTTCGTAATAAAATAAAAAAAAAACCCTACATATACGTTACCCTATAATGCACAAGCCACTATACCACTTATTTCACCAAGTCGAGCACACACGTATAATAATACGCACTGTGCAAAATATTGTTCCAGTTAGGTATATGTAAAAAGAACATTCTTGAAAGACATATTGTAACGTTCCTATATGAAACTAAAAGTCTCGTGTGTTAGGTATTCAGAACTCTCATTTTTGTACTATACTTACCAGTTTACGACTATTAGAAGTTTTTTTTCTGCGATTTGCATTGGAACAGAAACAAGGCGAACAATTAAGTAAGTAAAATTTAATGACATAAATAATTAATAAACGCTTTGAGTAGGCATCATAATATAATACGTACCGAAACATAGTATACTAATAATAAACAACAAATACATGCATATTATATATATATATATTCGGCGGCCAAAAACTATATAATTAATTAAATAGTAAAATTTAGTACAATGATACATGGGTAAACTTATTGGGTAGGTAAACAGTACCGAAAAAAATATTATAATTATAAAAAGCAAATTTATATGTAGAAATATAAAATAATGTAATGTACATATTTTATAATAAATATTAAGCAAGATGTATTATATGATAATTTACAATATTATAAGGAATAAAGGGTGTAGTTAATTACACATAAATATTAAATAAACAGTAGAGGTACATAGGTATTCAGTAACACAAAAAAAACGGGTGCCCAAAGAATAATTAGGTAAATAATAAAAACATAATTTGAATGAGTTATAAAAATGTAAAAGTATAAAGGATGTAGGTATAACAGCACTTAGATAATAACGTAAATTTTGTATAAGGTATAAGGTATTCAGTAGGTACCGTAAAAAAAAAATACAACAATAATATGTAGTTATATATATAACCCAAGAGAATAAATACAAAAAATATCAACACTATGTAATATGATTATTTTATAAGACGAATATTGATAACAATATTTTATCTCCAACTGTCGAAGTTCGAAATTCATTTTATACAGCCACCGAAGGGTGGCGATGGGTGACGACTTGTGGACACACGGACGGGGGTTACGCACAGGGCAGATTACCGGTCCACAAGCTCGCACACCATAATCACGTTAAATATCCATCGGCAGACTGCTCTGGTTAATAGTTAATACCTCGTGGATACGCAAGTGGCACTCAAGTGCAGGCTCGACGTTCCAAGACGGCCGTGGCCCGTGACACTCAAGTTCAGGCTTGGCGTTGAACGGACGAGGCGTGATGATGGATGCGAATGTCAAAAGACGGCGGCAACAAGCACAGTTGTTCACCCCGATATACAGACACGCAGGCCAACGCACATGTGAGCCGTTGCTGATGACTCCATCAGACCAATCACGTTCGCCGTTGATTTAGGACGAAGTCCAACGGTAATGTCGCACGTTCGACGAGGTTTTTAGAAAGATAGCCAAACAAGTTCGCGACGATTGACCTGTCACAAAATTCAATATGAAAACATCATTATAAAAGAATCAGTCAATAACAAAACATTATTATTATATTATCATCTAAGCTAATACACATTTTCCACTAAAGGAGCTTTTAAAACACCATAAAAAAAAATTAAATTTCATCAAAATCCCAGCTTACTTATCTTTATAATAATAATAACAGTCAATATTCCAAATGTGAAAATCAATATCAATCAATTATGCAGTTATTAAACAGCCACACGGAAATAAAAAATTACAATTTATTCATATTTAAAAAAAATATTGTTATATCAAATAAATGTACTATAATTACAACTATTGTGTATCTGTTTAAATAACTATTCTAATATTGTTATATTATTACAGAATTGGTAAACAATATTATTTTTAGAACAATTATATTTATGATAATAATAAGTAATAACCAATATCTATCAGTATTCAGTTGAAATAATTATTACTTGCTTGATTATTGATAAACCATGTTTGCGTTAAACCAACTTATATTATGCTTTATTTAACAAAGACTATAGGTAGTTAAAATATTTTAACTATTTAATTTTGTAAAATCAACATAAAAATAAAGCTAGAATATTGAACAGTGAAGCGTTTTTAGGGTTATGTAGATACTTAAGTACAATTGTACAACGAGTTGTTAGATTTTAATTTCTGCAACCAGAAATTATTTTTATTTATTTATTTGTTTATTTAACGCCAATCGGCAATTCAAGAGATTTACAATACAAATTATATACAGAGAATATTAAGTAACAATGTGATGGAGTAATCTTATATAAAAAACGAGGTGAAACATAGTAATTTACAGAGCAAACAACTAAATATTTAGTACAAATAAAAACATAACAATATAATGAAACTAAAAACTAACTAACTTAAGTAATATATACATTTAAAATATCATGATCTATTAGTTATTGAGCAGACGAAGCATTCTGTGTAAAGGATGGTTATGAGAGTAGTTGAAACGGTGAGAAGGGACAAGGAAAAGTGAGTGATTTCTAGTGTAATGTACAGGAACGCGGAAAGAGATAGAGGAAAGAAGGTCAGGGGCATCAACAGTGCCATTAAGAAGAGAGGTGACAAAGGAAAGGTCAGCCTCTATACGGCGAGAAGAAAGAAGAGGGATATTCAAGGAAGATCTAATGGATGAATAGTCATGGGGTGGGTGAACAATCTTGAGCAGAAAAGCAGCGTATGAGAGGAATCGATTTTGAACTCGCTCTAAGCGTAATTGGTCTTTAGCCAAATATGGATGCCATACAACAATTCCATATTCCAAAATAGAGCGGACAAGAGAGAAATAGAGGGAACGAAGACAAGTGGAGGACGTGAAAAGGCTAGTGTTGCGCTTTATGAAACCTAGGACTTTTAAGGCTCTACCAACTGTTATATTAATATGCTGTTCGAAAGAAAGAGATGGAGTTAGGTAGATACCAAGGTCTTTGACAGAAGAAACACGTTCGAGTGGGGAGCCATTGAGGGAATAAGGGAAGATAATATGTATTCGCTTTCTGTGGAATGTCATACTATGGCACTTGTTGAGATTGAGCGTAAGGCCTATACGCTGAGTCCAGAGACAGAAGGAGTCGAGATCTGACTGAAGTTGACGGCAGTCGGAGATAGAAGCAACTTTAGAATAAATTTTAATGTCATCCGCAAATAGAAGGACTTTGGAGAATGAAAGGTAATTGTTAATTGAGTTAATAAAAATTATGAACAGTAGAGGACTAAGATGTCCTCCTTGAGGGACTCCAGAAGGAGTTATAGACAAGTCAGAGGTAGCACCATGGATTTTCACAAATTGCATTCTTGGACTGAGATAAGATTGGAGCCATGATAGTAAAGGGTTCCCAATACCGAGTGATTCTAGTTCAGAGATAAGATGGCTATAGATAACCGAGTCAAAAGCTTTACTAAAGTCAGTGAACACGGCATCAACTTGGCAATCGGACTCAAAGCTCTCCAGAATATACGACGTTAGAGCTAGGGTACAGGTGGTAGTAGATTTCCCAGGACGGAAACCATGCTGGTCAGCCACTAATATATGGTTAAGACTTCTTTTGATATTAGTGTATACAATGGACTCAAGTAGTTTTGAAATATGGGGAAGAATAGAAATAGGCCTGTAATTAGAAACAAGTGAGGGATCACCAGATTTAAAAACAGGGGTAACAGAGCTGGTCTTCCACACAGCAGGAAAAATACCTTCATCGAGTGATTGTCTAAAGAGCAGAAATAAAGGGTAAACAATGGAGTCTTGACAGTTAAAAAGTAAACGTGCAGAAACACCATCGGGACCATTGGAATTGTTATTTTTTAGGGAGTTAAGTGCAAGTTGCACATCATCAAGAGTAATGAGGCAATTAGAAGGAAGTTCGTACTGATATCTATTATTTGTAAGGGGATTAAAAGGTGGAGAAATAGAGGGATTATACATGGAATAGAAGTACTTAGATAACAAATTGGCAGAATCACGAGGATTATCAGCCGTAGTGGTATCCCAACGTAAGGTGGAGGGTAGCGTGTTGTGCTTACTGAGATTTTTAGTATACTTCCAAAAGGAAGAGGGGTTGTGAGTGAGCGAGTATTCTGTATGTCTTATATATGACTGATAGTCTAT